ATTAAGTAGTACACGTTAATTAAACGTAAGCAACCATCCGGAGATAATGTTTATGATTTCTGTTCTATAATATTAATTTACTGCCAAAGACCAGTCTCCGAGAAAGAAAAAAAGTTAACCAACGAGGCGGCATCATCGGGAGCGCTGAATAGGGAGGCAACCAAAAGCATGGGGAATCCGCCCCAAACCCCGCTCTTGAAGGCGCCCCAAAACCCGCTCTCGAAGGCGCCCCACACCCCGCTCTTGAAGGCGCCCCAAAACCCGCTCTTGAAGGCGCCCCAAAACCTCTCTTGAAGGCGCCCCAAAACCCGCTCTTGAAGGCGCCCCAAAACCGGCTCTTGAAGGCGCCCCAAAACCCGCTCTTGAAGGCACCCCAAAACCTCTCTTGAAGGCGCCCCAAGTTTCATTTAAAAAAAAAAAAAAGCAGTTTGTTTGACCAATGTCATGGTCATAATGATAACTCGCATGAGGAAAAAGCACAATATCTCACTAAAGGGGGAAGTCCACTAAACAAATTCCTGCGCAACTTCTTGAAATTATCCATGGTATTGGTATATTATATTTCGACAGTGTTTACAGCATCAAACCAACCAATTTAGCCTACTGTTACTCTAACATATTTAGTCTCGCGCGATATGTCGGACCCAAGCCCCGCGAGGATCGTCGTATTCCTAACGCCGCCTCTGGGCATCATGATGGAGTATAGAAATTAACCTTTAACCTATTTACGATGTATGAAAGACGAGCAGATAACGAACACACGGGCTTGAGTGCCGGAAGAGAGAAATTCGTTACAAATATTATTTCATCATTGGTGAGAGAGAAGCGCTAAGTAAAGGGATATTTTGGAACAAAGGTTTGAACAGATCACCGTCCCAAACACAAGTGAAGGGATGTTTCGTCAGTCTTAACAAACTAGTACAAACAATATTAAAACAGTCATGTCATGAATCCAATATTGACTAACCTATGTCAAAAGATACAACAACATACTGGTTTTCTAACAGAGTCCGTAGGCTTTGTTTTATTATTACACTACTTAAGTGAAGCTATAGTGAAGACTACTGTAGGTCAAACACCTACCGCAAGCCCTACCACTATTTTGCTGGAGTAGACCGATACCATCGAGTTTGTTATAGACCCGGCACTTAACTACTCCACATCCAAAGGCAGGGGAGGGATACGTGATTTAGCCAACATCAGACCCAGCCATTGATATTGATCCCTCTTATCTAGAGAGTCAAACTGTGTTTCAATTGGTGAGGTAACCGGAGGAAAGATGCTGGTAAATTTAAGTGAAAAGTAGATCTACCCTATTCAAACCAGAACACATTTTATCTGGTTTCTTCATGTGTTAGGAACATGAAAACATAAAATATCACTGGTTGTCTAATAAACTATACAAGGCTAAAAATGAAACAACTATTATCATCTCTTTAAAATAACATATCTTCCAGCTTTTATTCAGGCCCATTACAGTCTAGTATAGCTTTTAAAATGCAGACTTTAGGCTCCATAAAGGAGTGGATCTCTCTATTCATAAGGTCGCATTTGTCAGGAGGTTATGCTTGAATGACCATAAAGGGTTTTTATTTCTCACAGTAAACCTTCTACAACAACAAGAACTACAGCACAAGTCAGAAACTGCTGTTACCAGTCTACAGATATCTTGGAACACAAGACATACCTGTGTTTTACATACACACCTTTCACACCTGTTAAACCCAAACACACTGGGCTAGAGTAGCAGATGTGGTAAAAAGAAAATATTATTGAAACAATCATCAATATAATTTTAAAACATTCAAACATCTCTACTAAACCTTATTCTATAAGAAATAAGAAGAGAATATTAATACAAATTAGTTTGTGTACTTGATTTCTATTTGATCCTGGAACTTACTTTACCTGTTCTGCTTTATCATAATGCTCGTATTTTATTCACTTTATGGGGGAGAGATGGGACAGGACCATCAAAGCACTAAAACTAAAAATATGTCTCTAGACTATTTACCTACCAAATAAAAATCAGTTACAGTACATACACTTAGCTCTTTTCTATAAAGGCTATTCTGAAGGAAACATCTTTAAGAATGGTTGAAAAGAATATCACTGATCAGACCTAGTGGACAGTAGCCATGAGCTCATCAATCAATACATTCTTGACATACCTAACTCCCTTCTATACTGTTCTACATACCACATGGTGTGTAGCACATACATCTGATAAGTGTAACAGATGCAGTAGTATTCAGACCACCAGGCATCTTGCTGTTTGTTTTACACTCACAGCAGTGATACATAGATCTACATGCTACCAGAAAATCAGCCCCATATATATAGCCTATCTTTAATTTGAACATTAAAAATAATCTATGTGCCTGTTATTTTTTCCAAAAGTAAAAAAACAATGCAAGCAGTGGTGAAAAAAAAATTAAATAAGAGCCTTTTAAAGACTGAATGTAAAATCAAATATTTTGAATGCCTGACCAAACAGCTATACACAAAATGACTATTTAAACAACTCATAGATCTAGATGCTAAACTAGGTGTTTTTAATATACTTTTACTTTTAGATGTGGGTACAAGCAAATAATAAGTTAATTTGTTCAAGTTATAAATTTGAGTCTGCTACAAGTTTTATCAAGCTTGTTTCGTAAAATCCCATTACTCAACAATGAGCAACATAACACAAAAATATATTTTAATCAAGTATTTTGTTTGCCTGAGTTGCATCCTGGTGACATTATTAATAAACATGACTGCCAACATTCTTTAGATCCCTGTATAGGACTTTTAGAACACAGCACACACAAAATACAAGTTGCACACTAGCCTTTTCTCCTTAGAGGGAATGTTGCTTATATCCCTCTAGTCGATGGGTAATCCAATGTAACCAAATTCAACATTAAAAAATGGTATCAGTGCCAAACAGTTTCATGTTATCCAGATAACTGTGCCAACAGTGTTTGACAATTGAATCTTCAATTATTAATGAATAAACTAGGCTACTCATGGTTTATGTCGGTTTATTTTTTCATTGGTCAGCTGATAGTTTTTCAGTCTGCATTTTATGCTTTTAGTGGGTGATTTTGTTTCCTATGATTGTAGTGACAGATTTTGAAAACTAAAATACTTGATCTAGAATAGTCTAATATTAAGAATCGACCCTTAGAATCCCTAGAAGAACAAAATCCCCTGCAGGGGCCTAAACCATATGGTGGTCTTGTTGCATTAAATCGTGATTGAATCATATTCAAATAGGTGAGGCCACATATTTCTACCACTTAACAACAAAACAACAAAAAACCTCTTCAGCGATGATCTAGATCTAGGCTTAATCTAATTAATAAATTATTTAGGCCTAGCTACAAAATTATTTTAATAGGATTATGCCTACACATTTTCTGTAAAATATTATAAAATATAGTTAGAGCAGCAAAAAAAAAATATTCTCAAAATTAATTGATGAATTTGATGATTTGTGTAGAGTAGAGTAACTATAACTAGACTAGTAATCTCATGATTATTGTAGTGTTGAATATTTATATTATTGGGAAATGTTTGTTGAATTTTGTTACCATTAAAATTTAGATTTAAATCAGATCTAGATTAGATCTACAATCTAGTTACTGTAAAAGTAAACTGTGGGCCTAAACAATTTGTTCCTGGAAAATCAAGTGTATTTAATAAAGTATGCCTACTATTTTTTAGTACTAGGCCCCCTATAATGTAGATCATATAAAAATGATTAATAACATAGTAAAAACCACTAGTCTAGAACAATGATTAGCAAAAATTGATTACAAGGAATAATCATCAACTGAAACACAAATGCAATAGTATAGCAACAACAAAAAATAATGATTAGCAAAACTCAAACAGTGTAACTTTTTAACATGCAACTAAAAAAATATAGGCCTAATTCTAAGAAGTGGCGTAGCGAGGTCGGGTGTCACCAGGTGCGGCACTTAATGGTTCACCCCCCAGAGGCGTAGCAACCCTTCCTGGGGACAAACGTTCAATTTTCGACTTGCACCCCCCTTCAAACTTTTGATTTGCACCGTCCCCCCCCCCCCCTCAAACTTTTGATTTGCACCTCTTAAAAGACTATTTAACACTCGAATTAATCACTTAATTAAGTGGAATTATCATTTTTCTCTATATATTTTGCTATTTTTTGCCTTGGTGTCATCCCCCCCCCCCTAAATGGTGTCACACGGTGCGGTCCACACCCCCGCCCCCCCCCCCCCTCGCTACGCCACTGATTCTAAGTCTGACAACTACTACACAAGCATCAGTAAAATTAAGTAAAATAGTCTAGTTGTAGTTGAAGTAGACTAGCTTTAGATCTAGAAATCTAGATCTGGAAGAATATTAATCTTATATTCTTAGTCTATTCTTATTCCTTAGTTTAAAAAAAAAAGGGTAATCTATCGTTTTGGGTACGTAAAATCGCCCGCGACTTGTAATGTGAACACCAGGTGACTCCTTAAATTTTAATAATTATTTCACATTTTGAGGAGGATTTATGTTTTTTAAAATACAAAAATGTTTCCTTGTTTCATTTATGTACCTGTTTTTAAACAATTGAATTAAAACTTTCCCGTAATAAATGAAGACTAGCGATGTTTCCAACAGATGCAACAATGCTCATTTACTATAGCAGCCATCTTGTTTAAGTTTTATTTTTATAAGCTTTTAGCGGGAGATTCAGGGGGAAGTCACTCTATTTTACAAATGGCTGCTGTTTATATAGCAAATCTTGCTCTCAGACACTGCTGTTTAAAGTTAACTTCTGGCCTATATCGATATATTTAGCCATTGATTTAGGTTTATTATTCATTTATCTATAATATTTGACACAAACACATGACAATATACTTCTATTAAAGCCTTGACAATGAGGTAACGTTTTCGTACATTAATAGCCGCGGGCGATTTTACGTACCCAAAACGATAGATTACCAAAAAAAGTTTCTTTGCCAAGCTTTGCTTACCTTCACATTCAACTTCATTCAATACGTTGATTTCCAAAAAGTAAAAACAGATTTTTTAATGATTTAGGTTTGTGTATTCCGATAGCCAATAGCAACTGGTTTCCAGACTTATTATCTTACTTGCAAAACACTGGTTGCTAGTTATTATTTTGTTCCGTCAGTGTCTATTAGTCTGTGAAGATGTGCAAGTTACTTAACATTTCTCTGTTGTATTCTCGTCCTAGGAAATAGTTGTAGCAGTCGTGACTCACCTACGCATGCGCAAATTGAAACAATTTAACTAGGCCTAACAGGAAAGGGTGCCGCCTCCCTGTATTTTAATTTATAAAAAACAAGGATACCTTACGACTTATGAGCACGAAACAGTTTTGAGTTCTTGTAGCATTATGTTACATTCTTCTTCTTGCAACTTAGCTTAAATTAGACCAATTATTCATTTTATTTTTTAAATAATTATCTACTATTTCACCAACTTCGATCTCCGAATAAAGGCCTACCGCTTAAAACTAAATCTAGCTAGATCTACTCCGAATAGGAGAAATCCCTAATGTTTTGTTATAAATAATGGCTCTTAAGATAACTATTAAATTACTATTAATTCAGATAATTCCCCTGATAATTTAGCTGATAGCAGATAAATTTGCCTCGTTACTTTAATTGCGTGATGTAGGCTACGAATAATAACATTTGCTATAGGCCTACATCTGTGAGGTTAGACTAGCTGATGACGGACAAATTGTGTGACTGGCAGTGACAACTCAAATGAGTCGAATTACTTAAAATAAAACAAATATAATATAATAACAATATTTTTAAATGCACTAAAATTAAGAAAATAAAACTAACTAATTTTCTTTAATTTCTTACACATTTTAGCGATCAAAGCTTTTTATTAAAGACTACTAACTAAAGAAAGCTAATTTATTTTATTTTATTATTTTTCATGCATTTAAAAACTTGTTATTATAAAGGTTTTTATATAGTTTTTTTTAATCTCCAATTTTCAGTAATTTGTTTAAATTAAGTTACATGACTAAAACCTAACTAATAGCTAAGATAGTGTGTGGTCGACGCTCTGGCAAACAGCCGTAACTAAACAGTTGGCGTGAACGACAACTCCGCTTACCTATCAGTCGATCCCGTCTAGCTAGTTATCTCCCCTTCTATTACTGAATTCAGTAATTATTTTAAAATTAATGCTTAGTGATCAATCTAATGTCTAATTGGATTTTAAAAAGATAAATTTGTATTGTCATCGAAGACGAACGTGTCTGGAAAGTTTGAACGAAATCGTTGCATTAGAAAAGGGTAAAAATTTAGTTACTATATGTAAAATAAAAAAAAAACAAAAAAAAAACGGACGTTGTGAACTAAGTAAAAGTTTGTGATAAACAATGGTAAAATCTTGAATAAGATTTGGGGCCTATAACTATAGACCTACCTTAAGTAATTTAAAAAAAAACAGAAAGTTTTGATCATAATGGAAATTAAACAAAGTAGGCCTATACAGAGACAGTGGCGTCGCAAGATCGGGTGTCACCCGCTGCTGCACCTAATGGTGTCACCCCCCCGTACCCCGAAAAATGTATATATATATATATATATATATATATATATGGTCTACATACTACTATATATGTATATATAGTTGCAATTGGTGTCACCCCCTCCCATTTTGCTTAATGGCGTCAATTTGTGCGCACCAATAAATTCATGTGGGAAAAGCATCCTTTTCATCGTAATGAATAGATTTCAGTGTCACCTCCGAGACCCGGTCGTTGATTGACTTATCAGTTATTCAAAATACTCAACATAACTTTTTTTCCTCTATAAAGTTTGTAGTTTGTGTAATACTGTCACCAACCCCTCCCCCGGTGGATGGTTTTAAAGTAAAAATGTTTATCTAGTATCAGTTATTAGTATAGGTTGATTAACTCTCATTAATTAAACTGGCAACAAGTAGGCCTATATTTCTTCTATATATTTTGAAGCTTTCGCCATGGTGTCAACCCCCCCCCCCCTAAATGGTGTCACCCGGTGCGGTCAGCACTCCCGCCCCCGCCTCGCGACGCCACAGTACGGGGGTTAATCGCCACACTCTTTGCGGGTAAGGAATCTGACTTTATTGAGGATGCGAAACTTGCAATCGACAAGCCAGAAAGGGAGATCAGCGTGAACATAAAACGGCGTTACAAAAAGTGATGTCACATTTTCTAATCAATTATCACAGAGCAGTCTTAGTGAGTGCAGTATAGTAAGACACATTGACACGAGCAAAAGTCGATTTAAAGCAAGTTGTACCGCTTGCAAAAAAAAACACAAGCTGTTGGGTTTCATTTCAGTCGAAAACCAAAATTAAGGTTCTAGCGTGTAAAGCAGACGTGATAACCGCTACACCATAGAACCAGATGCCCTTCTGATTCAGCTATCATCCAAGTAGTCCATGCATCAACTGAACTGCAATATTCTGCTTTTACTCCGTTGAACTTTAGTATCTGGTTTCTTAGAACGATTCCACCGAGAAACAAATGGGATTTCAAGATTTTTGACTGCTTCTCGCTCAGCAACATGTAAGGCAAAAAATATTATGCAACCAGCTTCCTGTTTACTCTGTTATTCGTTTCTTGCTAGTCGACTGCAAAGTTGCCTTAATGAAATTGATAGCTGATTGTTGCTCATATGTTAAACTTGACAAGTATGGCACCATTTGTATCTAGAATGTAAAACGTAATAAACATAGAATGCACTACAAATCATAGGAAATCTAACGAGGGGAGACGATGAGTTTTAATGTACACAGATGGATTATTTTCTCCCTCTGATTTTTATATCCTAATCGTTCGTTCAAAATAATCAGTTGCTTATCAAGTAAAGGTAAATTAATAAACCTAGAAAGGATTATAACCGGATCTTTTTTCACTTAAAAAATTGCAACGTTGTAAAGGCTATCTCCGATATAAAAATAGTGATTCCCAAGCGGGGAATCGAACCCCGGCCGCCGCGGTGAGAGCGCGGAATCCTAACCACTAGACCACTTGGGACATGCACGGCAATAGCACAGATTCATACATAACGGATATTCAAACGCTTTGGAGTGTTTCTTACCTGTTATCCCAAACATGGCTATGAGACCTAATCTGATGAATGTTGGCCTGCGCTTGGTTATTCTGGTTGATTATCTCTAACATTCATCTCACAGCAGTCTTGGTTTCAGTATAGTGAGAGACATTGACAAGAGCAGAAGTCACTTTATAGCAAGTTGTGCCGCTTGCAAAACAAAACACAAGATGTTGGAGGATTTCTTTTCTATCGGAAGCCAAAAATAAGGTTCTAGCGAGGCTCGAACTCGCGACCTTCTGCGTGTGAAGCAGACGTGATAACCACTACACTATAGAACCGAGTAACCATTTGCTTGAGCTTTCATCCAAATTTGCCAAGCATCAACTGAACTGCAATATTCTGCTTCTACTCCGTTGAACTTTAGGCTTACCCAGCATTATCCAAGGTTGGATATGGATCGGTGTTGCCTACATACACATGCTCCATAAATAAGTATTGATACAGTTAAGTGTTGACCAATACTACTTTCTTTCAATTCGGCGATTCTTTCCCAACGTGTGCTTTACAAACATCAAAACTAAAAATCATTTCAGTGACTACACCAATTGTGCCTAAGAAATACCTTTAAATCTGGCTTCTTAGAACGTTTCCACTGGAAAACGATTGGGATTTCAACGTTTCGGTTGCTCCTCACTCAGCAACAAGCGAGGTGAACAGCACTAAAAAAAGGACATTTAAAAAGAATAGGAAACCAGCGTTCAGGCTGTTTTCTATTTTTAGATAGTAGATTGCAAAGTTGCCATAATGAAATTAATAATTATTTTTGTGCATATGTTAAACATCACTAGTATTGCACCATTAGTATCTAGAATGACAAGAGCAAAAGCCGATTTAAAGCAAGTTGTACCGCTTTCAAAACAAAACACAAGATGTTGGGTTTCATTTGTGTCGAAAACCAAATTTAAGGTTCTAGCGAGGCTCGAACTCGCGACCTTCTGCGTGTAAAGCAGACGTGATAACCGCTACACCATAGAACCTGGTGCCCTTCTGCTACAGCTATCATCCAAGTTCTCCATGCATCAACTGAACTGCAATATTCTGCTTCTACTCCGTTGAACTTTAGGCTTACCCAGCATTATCCATGGTTGGATACGGATCGGTGTTGCCTACATACACATGCTCCATGAATAAGTATTGTGACAGTTAAGTGTCGACCAATACTATCTCGGCATTTCTTTCCCAAAATCTACTTTACAAACATCAAAACCAAAACTTCATTTCAGTGACCACCCCAATTTTGTCTAAGTCATAATTTAGTATCTGGTTTCTTAGAACGATTCCACCGAGAAACAAATGGGATTTCAAGATTTTTGACTGCTTCTCGCTCAGCAACATGTAAGGTAAAAAATATATGCAACCAGCTTCCTGTTTACTCTGTTATTCGTTTCTTGCTAATTGACTGCAAAGTTGCCTTAATGAAATTGATAGCTGATTGTTGCTCATATGTTAAACTTGACAAGTATGGCACCATTTGTATCTAGAATGTAAAACGTAATAAACATAGAATGCACTACAAATCATAGGGAATCTAACGAGGGGAGACGATGAGTTTTAATGTACACAGATGGATTATTTTCTCCCTCTGATTTTTATATCCTAATCGTTCGTTCAAAATAATCAGTTGCTTATCAAGTAAAGGTAAATTAATAAACCTAGAAAGGATTATAACCGGATCTTTTTTCACTTAAAAAATTGCAACGTTGTAAAGGCTATCTCCGATATAAAAATAGTGATTCCCAAGCGGGGAATCGAACCCCGGCCGCCGCGGTGAGAGCGCGGAATCCTAACCACTAGACCACTTGGGACATGCACGGCAATAGCACAGATTCATACATAACGGATATTCAAACGCTTTGGAGTGTTTCTTACCTGTTATCCCAAACATGGCTATGAGACCTAATCTGATGAATGTTGGCCTGCGCTTGGTTATTCTGGTTGATTATCTCTAACATTCATCTCACAGCAGTCTTGGTTTCAGTATAGTGAGAGACATTGATAAGAGCAGAAGTCACTTTATAGCAAGTTGTGCCGCTTGCAAAACAAAACACAAGATGTTGGAGGATTTCTTTTCTATCGGAAGCCAAAAATAAGGTTCTAGCGAGGCTCGAACTCGCGACCTTCTGCGTGTGAAGC